CTGTTGCTGCTACTTCATCCGAAAGCTTTCGCCCATCAACAACAACAGCGACAGCAGCAGCAGCTACCACCCCTGAACCGGTATCCAATTCGGGCGGATCATCATTTTCCTCCTCCTCCTCCTCCTCCTCTTCTTCCTCCTCTTTGGGATCAGAGTGTACAAACAACAGTCATAACAAAAGCAGCAGCAGCAGCAGCAGTACAACCTCTTTCTCCCCGCCCCTGGCCACCTTTGCCCCCGGCACTCTGGTGCTCTCTGAGTTGTTGGCCGCCGTGTCGCCAGTTAGCGGAAGTGCCGGCAACAGCAGCAGCAGCAGTGGCTTTTCCAGCACTGGCTCATCTTCTTCTTCTTCTTCCTCCTCAGGCTCAGTCCCCGATCTTTCCTCATCCTTTTCCTCCTCTTCCTCCTCCTCTTCCTTTTTCTCAACTTCCTCAACTTCCTCAACTTCCTCCGCCACGGCCTGCATTGCAGTGCACACACTGGCGCACATTCAGACGAGCACTTCCCACAGTTCTGAACTTCAAAATGTTGACGATGCTGAGAAAGATGTGAGTAGTGGCCAGCAGAAGAAGAAGGTGCTGCAACTGACTAAAACCTCCGCCAAGCTCTTCGCCATCAAGAGCCCGATAGTGGGCTCGCTGGCAATTCAACAAAGTCCCAGCTCAAGTGATCCCCACAGCCAGTCGATCATTGGGCCGCTGATGCAGTCGCAGTCCTTGGCGCAGTCTTTGGCTCATCAGCATCATCATCATCATCATCCGCCCGGCATCATACAGCTCACCTCGACGACGCCGACGATGATGACGCCGCCGACGAAGATGACGCCGCCACCTATTTCCATCACCGGAGAAAACAATGGACTGGTAGTGGTGGATCCGCCTCCTCTGACGGCAAATTTAGGCAGTGCGAAAACTACTGGAAACACTGCTTCTAATTCAGCTCCAATTTCAACAGCCGTAGAAACTTCAGTGCCGCCGACTGAAACGATTTCTTCAGGCGTTGAACTGGTTGCACCTAGTGCTGCTGCTGCTGTTGCTGTTGCCAAAGCTAAAACCGCAAAAACGCCTCCTCGACCTCGAAAGACTCCGGTGACGGTGCCGCCCACCTTTAAAACAATTGAAATTCCCGGCTGCCCGAAACCGGTGCTCGTTCTCTGTGAGCCAAACTTTGTACAGCCAAAGAAAAATACAAGTCGAGCCAAAGGCGGCGCCAAAAAGACCGCCAGTAGTACAACTGCTGAGAACAACAGCAACAGCAGCAGCAATGCCAATGACAAAGAAAGCAGCAGCTTCACCTTGAACAACAACAGTGACATGATGAACCCAATCAATTCGGGCGCCATCATTGGAAGCAACCAGCAACACTATACTTCTTCTTCTTCCTCTTCTTCCTCTTCTTCTTTTCCCTCTTATCATCCCTCTCCTGTTTCCTCAAATTTAATACCAAATAGCAACGGTGACAGCGGCTGTCCTGCTCATTCAGCCACAACCACAACACCTGCTCCTCTTTCGCTTTTTAGCCTCGATTCAGGGCCTCTGCCCCTCGGTTCGATGATTCAGCTGACGCAGATTTCTCCTCAATCGTTGACCTGTTCATCCTCGTCATTGGCCACCACCAGCAGCATCACAGGTAACTCAACTTCATCATCAGCCAGTCAACATCGTTTTTCGCAGCAGTCCGGGCAGTTCAGCACCGCCGTCCACTTTTCTATGACGCACCAGCAGCACCTGCCACCGCCGCCGCCTCCAGTGCGCCGAAATCCCTGCATCGGCAGACTGCGAAGCAAAAACGGAAAGTTCATGAAGTCTCTGACTCCCTTTGGAGTGGTGGAAATGAGCTCTAGTAGTGGTTCCACCATCACCACCACCACCACCACTACCACTTTTTCCTCCTCTTCCTCTTCTTCCTGTTCTCTTTTTGCAGCCGATTCAGCCTTGCGACAGCAACTGTTGATGCCGACACAGTCGCCGCAGCCGCCTCCGCCCTCTCTGCTAACTCAAACAGCGGCAAACAACAGCAGCAACAACATCGGCGGCGGCGGCTACAAACCGCCAAGTCGAAAGCGAAATCGATCGAAAAAGAAAGTTCCGCCTGGCGGTGATGAGCAGCAGCAGCAGCCACCTCTGAAAGCCACCTGCCACTCGGCAAATTGCATCAATGCACCGAAAAATATGGTTATTACCACCACCTCTAACAGCAACAACAACAATGGCAACAGCAGCAACCTGCACCAGCAACTGCACAGCAGCAACTGCAGCAAGGTCATTGCCCGATCTAAAAACGGTCACCCGGGAGTGGTTTTTCTGGGGGCTGCGGGAAAGCCATCACTGGTGCAACAAGGACAAGGACAAGGACAGGGACAAGGGCAAGGATGTGTTTTTGCGACCACGGCAATGGACGGCAGAAACCTGCTGACTGGAAACGGCCAGAGAATGGGTGTTGTTCCAGCTGTGTCCACCACCACCACCACCACTGGCCAACCACCACCACTTTCCACTTTACATCCTCAAACTCCTCAACCTCCTTCTTCGTCTTTTGCTGTTCCCTTTCCCTTTTCAATTCCCACCACCACTTCTAATCCCAATAATGGGCCCACTAGCCATTCAGCCATCAAGGCAATTGTAAGTTATTATTTTTAAAATATCTGCGCAAAATGATGTGGTTAAGATTTTACTAAATAATGTTTTTTTTTCAATTTTTTATCCCCTCAGAGCTTGGTAGCACCAAACGGTCAAAACTTGCAGCTACTGGCGGCGATTCCAATGCCCGCCGCCACCAGCACTTCAGGCGGCATTCCCTGCGGTCATCAGTTTCGCTTTCCAGCAAATCCCAGCCACTCTCCGGCGGTTTCCTGCGGTGAAGCCTCTGGTGGAACAAATGGAAATGGAAACGGAAACGGAAACGGTGGAAACAGCAGCATTGGAGCCAGCCCGGGCGTCATTTTTGGCGCCCTGCCTGGATGCTTTACAACTACTACTAGCTCGCACCAGCCACCGTTTAACCCGATGGGCGGGCAAAACTTGGCCAACTCGGCAGTGGTCAACAACTTGGCAAACAACTCGTCAAGTAGCGGAAATAATTCAACAAATGTCAATGGCGGACCACCACCGACAGTAAGTGTCGCTGGAGTGGTCGGTTCGACGGCCCACCTGCTTCCCATCTCCTCCTCCATTGTGAACACCAAAAACGGCGGCCAGATTGCGGTGATTTGGATGCCGACAACAGCAGCAGCAGCAGCAGCAGCTGCAGGCACTAGTAGCGGAGCGATGGGCCCTGCAAAGTTTGGGCCAGCAGCAGCAGCAGCTTTTAGCTTTGGCAGCAGCGGAGGAGCTAGTGGAGGAC